GGTGACTGGTTGAGCCTTATTTCATTTTTTAATGGATTGTTTCAGTTCTGTGCACAAGTTGCCACCCAACTGGAGCAAACCAAGAAGCTTTAGTAAAAAGCAAGTGCAGTTACTGGCAGATCACTGGGAACAAATATTTATGTGTGTGTGAAACGCTGTCAAGTCACACACACAAGTTGCCACCCAACTGGAGCAAACCAAGAAGCTTTAGTAAAAAGCAAGTGCAGTTACTGGCAGATCACTGGGAACAAATATTTATGTGTGTGTGAAACGCTGTCAAGTCACACCCAATTTATGGCAACCCCAGCAAGGGGTTCTCAAAGCAAGTCAGAAGCAGAGGTGGTTTACCATTGCCTTCCTCTGCAGAATTTTCCTTGGTGGTCAACCTTCCAAGTACCAACCTTGCTTAGATTCCAAGATGTGACGAGATTGGGCTATGCCATGCAAAGATCTGGAAATACTTAGAAGATGGCATAAAAACCAGCCTTTGAAACACAGCCATTTCTTAAATTCTGCAGAATAGGTAGCATGCATAAATATGAAATCTCTTTTAAAAATCAGTCATGTAAACTCGCTGGCTTGGATCCTGCAGTAAATCGCCACTGACAAGAAGGAATGCAGTGTGAGGTAAGCAGGTGCAACTGGACTTGCTTACTTCCCACCACAGAACCAAAATGACCCCTAAATGTTGTTCTGGGGAGGGGGACTAGAGACCCCCTCCAAGAACTAGAATGGGGCAATCAGAGGTGTGGAGTAAGAGGAAGGAACAGGTGAAAGTCCACCCCCTTCCATTAGTGGAAACATTCTGCATTATCCAACCCACCATATCTACACACCAAAAAATAGCAATGGAAATTTGCTTCACCGGGGTACTTTTTTTCTTTTCTTTTTTTAATGACATAGTCCAAACTAGATCTGCTGAAGCCCAGGGAAGGTGCAAATATTGTATCAGCTAATGATGTTGCCTCTCTCTTGTGGTCGCTTTGGGTGGGGAGTGAGAAATGTCGAAGATCTGTCTGATTGCCTTTTACATTCTCTTCTTGTTCCTTGTTGTCTACATCTATTTTGCCCTCCTCCCCCCTGTCCATGAAGTAGCCGGCAGTGGGAGTTAGGAGGAGGATTGGTTATTCGCCATCTGCTTGTTTTTAATATTGTACTAAGGTTTTAATTATTTTATCTTGTTTTATCTCTGGTTGTACATTGCCCAGAGCCCTGCAGTAGCAGAGGTGGGGGCAATTCATAAATATAATAAATAATTTTTTAAAAAGTAAACAGAAAAAATAAAGGGGTAAATGATGTTGCTGGTACAGTGATGGGTCATGATCCATCTCATCCATCTATTAAAATACTCAAGTTATTTATGGATGAAGGATTTAGGACATGAATTAGATTGGGAGGAATGGATTAAGACTTGGAAAACTAATATTAAAATTACCAGATCTATGACTTTTAAAGAAAATCTCTCCTTATATATAATTGAATAGTGGGTGCCAAAGTTCTAATTCTAAAATGCACTCCCTTAGTGTATGGCTGATGGCACTGCTCCTCAGCATATATCGCCACCAATCAGAAGGCAAAGCCCGGGTCCCGCCCACACCACAACTGCTG